GGAGCAGTTAGATGGCCCCTGAACCCAACAGCTGTCGGGGCTGGAGTGGCTGCCAGAGGCTGGGGTGGGATGGTGAACAGTGTTTACTGTCCCTTCGGGTAACACTTCAGTGTGTGGGGGCCTAGATTGGGAAACTTGTCCATTATTCTAACTAAAAAGTAGATCATTCAAGGTTCTTGTCAGGTGCTTTTAGCAGGTGGGATCTACTAGTCCCTTACAGAGACGGTCCATTGTGACTCCTCCCCAGCACCCTTTCCAGCCCTAATGCCCCATCTACAGTTTAATGAGGGACAAGGTGGTCACTGTGTTCCGGGACAACGTAGTATTTCTGGGATATCAGGATGCAGCTGGAGGGAAACCAGGTCAGAATTCCTTTTTTTTTCTTAAATAAATTTTTTAAATACATTTTTACATATTTCAGAGAGGAAGGAAAAGGGAGAGAAACATCAATGATGAGAGAGAACCATTGATTGGCTGCCTCCCGCACGCCCCCCACTGGGGATGGAACCCGCAACCCGGCATGTGCCCCTCACCGGAATCGAACCTGAGACCCTTCAGTCTGCAGGCGGCCGCTCTATCCACCGAGCCAAACCAGCTAGGGCCGAATTCTCTTCTTTAAGGCTCTTGGGGAGATAGATGCTCCTCCTGCTTCCTAGAGAAGCAGCCTAGAGATTCGCGAGGGGGAGGGTGCCGGGGCCGCTGGTGACGCACTTCCTGCCGCGCCACTGCCCTTCCGGCTGAGGCAGGTTTCTCTGGGCCCTGGGATTGCAGGCTTGGCTGGGACCGCAGTAACCGCCCCAGGGCAACTCCGGGATCACGGTGAGCGGGCGGGGCCCAGGGAGGGGGGACAGCGGGGCGGAGGGCCAGGGGGTTATAGAGGAAGCCTGCGCCGGCCTCGTTCTCCCGGCGGCCTCAGCGCTGCTCTCACGGGGCCCCAGCTCAGGCCCCGGGCCCAGCCCAGAGGAGACGCTTGAGAAGATGGAGTGAATGAACGGATGATTGAGTGATAAATGGTCGGAAACGAAACCCCGGGTCTGGGTCTGGATACCACCTACTCCCCCAATCAGTCCTGCAGCTCAGAAGCTTTGTAGGGACCGTGGAATAGGAGACGGCAGATACTGCTAAGCCCACGCGGTGGAGGGTGTCGAGACCTTGGTTATGTAATTCATGGGGATACAGAGGCTGTTGGTTGATCTCTAAAGTTAGACTGTCTAGTAATCCTTGCCATCCTTTCTTTCCAAGGCTCAGTTGACAGATTTTATATTACAGCATGTATGCAGACGTCAATGTCTTCCATCAAAATTTTACTGTTTATTGCCAAATATTACGCAGAATTCAGGTCACAGAATGAATGTTGTTGGCGCCTGCCAAATGAGAAGATACTTACGGTCTGGAAGTGTGTGTGTGTGTGTGTGTGTGTGTGTGTGTGTGTGTGACACTGTTTGAAGCAGTTGTGCTAATTTAACCTTCTCAGTAACTTATTATCTGTAGTTTTGAAAGAGGAAATTAAGGTACAGAGAATAGATAAGTTGCTAGTAAGTGCCCGAAAGCTGCAGCAGAGATAAATCCATTGTGCAACTGCAGCCTCGGTGAATGGTACTTGGCCAACTGACCAATTCAAGAAGGGCTTCAGAGAAGAGTACATGTAAGTGTGATCTTATTGAAAGAATTGTGGTTTCAAATTCTTGAAAAAAGCTACCTGGCTTGCCCAGAACACTTCAGCTAATTATTGAGGGGATGAAGAGATGGCAGTGGGGAGAAAGCTTACAAGGTAGAGGGTGAAGCCCACGCCCAATTACTATTTCCTCCCACATTTTAATATTTCTAATATCAGAATGAGCCTCACCATCTGTACTTCTTTATTTTTTACCATCTGTACTTATACCATAGTTTAGTTGGTAGTGATTTTTCATTTTCTTAGGAACAGTCAGGTGTCTTAGACTCAGTGACATGATATCTGACTTGGATTCTCTGTGCCTGCAGCAGCAAAGGCAGAGCACACCCGGCAGAGTCTTCAAAAGTCGAAGTCAAGGTATCACTCCATGAATGCCAGCAGAGTCCTCTCCAGTATTGCCTCTAAGAGTCCTGCTGTGTCTCTATAGTCCTGTAGCTTCCCAATTACTCTTTAACAGGGTGAAACTATTTAAAGCTTCTTTCCTTTTACCTTTCAGTATAATACCCATCTAACCCCAAGTCTGGATTCAAACAGAGCCTTTTTAGCATCTTAAAATCACCAACACTCAGATTATTCCACACTAGGCATTTGTGGAAACACCTGTAATTCCTTTCTGGGGAATTTATCCATCAGGGAGTAGGTAATCTGTGGTTCATGTTTTTGTAAAAAAATAAAATAAAAAATGAAATTTTTTTAAAAAAAAATCCTCACCGGAGAGAGACATTGATTGGTTGCCTCCTGTAACTGGGGCTGAGGATCAACCTGCAACCAAGATAGTACCCTTGATGGTGCACAGGCCAACGCTCTAGCCACTGAGTCACACTGGCCAGGGCTAAAAATGATTTATTAAAACAGATAAGTTCATTTGTTTACATATTTCTAGTTCAGTGTTCAGACTGTAAAGGCAAAGTTGAATGGTGACAGAGAGTGAGGCCATATAACCTAAACAGGAAGACTGAAATACGTACTTTATAGCCCTTTACAGAAAAAAGTTTGCAGTTTGACAGAAACAAACTGCTGACAGCTACGATGATCCACAGTTGGAGATGGGAGTATTGTCTCCAAGCTGTCCTCTCCTTAGGCCTTAGGATCAAACATAATAACTCTTAACTCGTGTTGAGTGCTTATATTGTGGCAGATCGCCATAAATGTTTTACATTAATTAAGTCATTTATCTAGGATTTACAGAACGTTAGAGCTAGAAGAACTCATGTACATTATCTAATTTGTCACTTTTTTCAGTTAAATAGCCTATCGTGTAGGCCCAATTACATGGGCTATGACATAGCAAAGTTTCCTGACTCCTAATCCAATCCACTTTAATCTTACTCTGAATGGGAGGCCAATACCATATCCATTGGATCTACCTTTTGTTTTTATTTTATGGTGAGATCTGCCATTTTCAAAAGAATGATTTCTCTGACTATAAAAGTAATGCATGTTTATTGTAGGAAAAGTGAAATATATAAGAGAGTGTAAAGGACAAAGTAACCTAGTAAATGTCCTAGAGATCAATGTGTTAGCATTTGATGGGTTTTCTTCCGTCCTTTGTGTGTGTGTTTGTAAATATCTGTGTATTAATAATAGTTTCTGTTTATTGAATGCTTACTAATGTTGGTATATGTGTGCATATTTTTTGTTTTACTGTTTGTATCCTATACTAATATATTGTATTTTCTCATGAATTGTCTTTGAAAACATGATTTTTAATAGTTCCAAAATATGTCATATTTATATGACTTGTGTTTTTTGCCTGTTTTTTTTTTATTTTTTACAATTATAGTAAGAGGATGATCTTTGTGCTTCTCTCTGATTATATTTTTCACTTTTCTTCTCATTAGAAGAGTTGTTTATTTTTGTTGGAATACTTTCAAGTATTGCAAAAAGATAGGCCTTAAAGCAAAATTTTACCATAATCTTATTCCTCAGAGATGATCATGGTTAACAGTGTGATACATATTGTTAGAGACTTAAGTTAGTTTTTAAAAAATAAGACAAAATGTGATAATTGAAGAAATTTGGGAACTAGAGGGAAAATTCATTCAAAATTTACTAAATCGTTATAGTGATTGAAGATTAATTTTCCTTCTTGGTCTTAGGCATATGTATATTTTAACATATAGGATGTTATATTGTACTTGAAATTTTAATCTCCTGCATTTTTCCATAAGTATTTTTCCAATTGGTCACGTATTTTTATATTTTACTTTAATCTTAATGCCTATATAATTTCTACCAAGTGGAAATGCTATAATTTGCTAAGCCTTGGTGTCTCATCAATAGAAAATTGTGTTTCCTACAACATTGCAGGGCTTTTTTCTTCTTTTTAGCAGTTAATGAAAGGATTCAGTCATTTTCCTCTCTGGAAAGTTACACTTTAATCTTAATGCCTATATATAATTTCTACCAAGTGGAAATGCTATAATTTGCTAAGCCTTGGTGTCTCATCAATAGAAAATTGTGTTTCCTACAACATTGCAGGGCTTTTTTCTTCTTTTTAGCAGTTAATGAAAGGATTCAGTCATTTTCCTCTCTGGAAAGTTACTTCTCTATGAGAATGCTCTAATAGTGGAATTAGTGGGTCAAACAATATAGGCATTTTTATTACATATACCCATGACTTTGAGCATCTTCTGAGATACACTGCAGGTGTTGTATACTCATAATGAGTATTCTCATCTTAGTTCATACACCCACAAAATGGTGATCACTGTGTCACAAATGCAAATGAATCTACAACTTTAAGATCTGATACTTATTGCCCAAATACCTCTAGAAAGATGGTACCAGTTTACATTCCCACCGGTAATGTGTGAGAAACTTCCTTCCCCTGCACCTTTACTGGACTTAAGTTTTAGCATTAAAAACATTTCAATTTAAAATAAAAATTGATTCTTCAACCTTGCCGGTTTGGCTCAGGGGATAGAGCATTAGCCCATGGACTGAACGAAGGGTCTCAGGTTCGATTCTGGTCAAGGACATGTATCTTGGTTGCAGTCCTGAGAAGTCCACAGGACCAGCCTGATTACGTACTTCACCAGGCACAGTCTATTTTTTCATGCCTCTGAGCTCTCAATTATGGTATAAAAAAAAAAAAAGTCTCTTTTCCTTGAGATAATTGTGCCAATTCTACTTCTCATGTCAAGGTTATATGAAGAATATGAAGAGACATTTTTGGATAAGCTTTTGGAATTTTGACATTCCAAACACCAGAAACTACTTTTATTTTTTCAACTCTTTTATAAGTAAAAAAATTACTTTACAAAGTGTTTTATTTAAACTGAAGCCTTTTAAAAATATATCTTTTATTCATTTCACAAAGGGAGGGAGAGATTGCCCTGACCAGGAGTCGAACCATGACCTCCTGGTTCAGAGGTCAATGCTCAATTGCTGAGCTACCCCGGCAGGGCTGGATCAGACTAATGCATTAGCCTTGTTGTGACTCCCATACAACTTCTCAATTTATTAATTGACTTTTCATACATATTATTGTATAATGGACAGCAGATATATATTAACTTGAATATTCCTATCCACTTCTTAATTATCTTTATAAATAATATTCTTAATTATTCATCAATTACTTGAGTGTTTGTTATCATTCTGTCTAGCTGTCACTTCTTAAAGAATTGACAGATGGAATTGTGAACCTAGAATGCTATTAGCCAACCCTGATTTTTGTTGATGCAGTCACATTGCTCACCTGACAAGTTTTGTGTGAGTCATTTAGTCTCCCTAGGCAACAGCTCTTTCTCATTTTTGTCTACTGGGACAGTGATATCCCATCTCTACCTGTTTCCTCTGTGAGCAGGGCTCCTAGTTTTCCAACCTTGAAGTGTTTTATAATTAAAGCAAGGAGAAGATTTGTGGGTGTTGAATATGCAAGGAGCTGAAAAGAGAGATTGGAAGAGAGATTTTTCCAGGTGAGTTAGCAAGGTACAACCAGTATGTTGAATATGCAAGGAGCTGAAAAGAGATTTTTCCAGGTGAGTTAGCAAGGTACAACCAGTGGGAGAAGCAGCAGGGCTTTGGAAATTTTACAGGAGAAACTGAATGAAGCTCAGGCAATAAAACTATCATCTCTTTAGGGTCGTTGTGGGTAGAACTGGGTATCTCTTGGGGACTTTTCCCCTGTACTTATTTTATCTCTTTCATTCCCAGGATTTGCCATTTTACATTCTCCCACTATCCTCCATTCTTTAGATATAAAACATCCATGTTTCCTGTCTTGCCCTAATCATTAGCTTGTTGTTGTTTGTTATTTTCCCCTTATCTCCATTGTCTCTGGTTCTCTCACTCTCTGGGTGTCTGTAGCTGCCCTTTCCATGGAATTCCTAATTAATGGTGATCACCTTATCCTGATATAGATCTCTTCTACCACTTGCAACTTTGAATTAGTTGTCCCACTTGCTTTTTACTGAGACCTGCAAAGTTAGGTCCCAGAACTTCAAGGGCCTTCACTTTGCCATGTATAAGAGAGATTGATTCTGATGGTTTCTTTCAGGTTGGGTGAACAAGTCTGCTCCAGAGCAGGATGTCTCTGAAATTGAGTCACCGGGGACAGTAGGAAACAGGCTCCAAGAGGATGAATCCCGGGATTCTACATTTGAACAAAAATATGCATGTGAGAACATGAAGGAAAACTTTCCTGAACACGTGCCCAGGTCATGCTTTTTCCAGGAAGGAGGTTTTGGGGGAATAACTTTCATCCGAAAGGAAGCACTTCCTAAAATGATGAGCCAAGAATATAATTTTGAGAAGAGGTTGCTTTTGACCTCAAGCCTTGTTACTCATCTCAGGGTTTCTACAGAAGATAGTCTACATCAGTGGGAGACAAGTAGCATACACACCAATGAGATTTCAAACCAAAGTAAATGCTCAACCCTCTCCATTCGGAAAAAGTCTTGGAAATGTAACGAATGTGGAAAAACATTTACTCAGAGCTCATCCCTTACTCAACATCAGATAACTCATACTGGAGAGAGACCCTATGTATGTGAGGAATGTGGGAAAGCCTTTAGTTGTAGTTCATTCCTTGTCCAGCATCAAAGAACTCACACCGAAGTGAAACCATACAGATGTGAGCAATGTGGGAAAACATTTCGTTGTCGATCATTTCTTACTCAGCATCAAAGAATCCACACTGGAGAGAAACCTTATAAATGCAATGAATGTGGGAATTCCTTCCGCAATCATTCACATCTCACTGAACATCAGAGAATTCACACTGGAGAGAAACCTTATAAATGTAATAGGTGTGGCAAGGCATTCAATCAGAATACACACCTCATTCATCATCAGCGAATCCACACTGGTGAGAAACCTTACTCATGCACTGAATGTGGCTCTTCTTTTCGTAAACACTCAAATCTTATACAACATCAGAGAATTCACACGGGGGAAAAACCCCATAAATGTGATGATTGTGGGAAAACTTTTCAAACAAAGGCAAATCTTTCTCAGCATCAGAGAATTCATACTGGAGAGAAACCCTATAAATGTAAGGAATGTGGAAAAGCTTTTTGTCAGAGTCCATCCCTTATTAAACACCTGCGAATTCATACTGGAGAGAAACCTTATAAATGTAAAGAATGTGGCAAAGCTTTTACTCAGAGTACCCCACTCACGAAACATCAGAGAATTCACACAGGGGAGAGACCCTACAAATGCAGTGAATGTGGTAAAGCTTTCATTCAGAGCATTTGTCTTATTCGGCATCAGAGAAGTCACACTGGAGAAAAACCTTATAAATGCAATGAATGTGGGAAAGGGTTCAATCAGAATACCTGCCTCACTCAGCACATGAGAATTCACACTGGAGAGAAGCCCTATAAATGTAAAGAATGTGGGAAAGCCTTTGCTCATAGCTCATCTCTTACTGAACATCATAGAACTCACACTGGTGAGAAGCTCTTTAAATGTAGTGAGTGTGAGAAAACCTTCCGCAAGTATGCACACCTTAGCGAACATTACAGGATTCACACTGGTGAGAAGCCTTATGAATGCATTGAATGTGGAAAATTCTTCAGACATAGTTCAGTGCTTTTCAGACATCAGAAACTTCACAGTGGTGAATGAACCTGGCATTAGGTAATGGCAGTTTCTCAAGAAATAGTGGCTAGGAATCTGGCTGAGGAGTGGGGGCAGGTATAGTTCCTGGAAGGAAGGATGAAATAGCCTTAAATGCTGCCCTCATAAGAGTATTTCCAGAAATATTTGTGGGGGCTTGGAGAATGCAGAGCCTACTCCAGGTGGGCATCTGGGAGTACCGGGTAGAAAGGAAGTTCCTGCTTTTCAGATAAATCCTTGTTGCTTGCCACTCCTCTCTTCTCATGTGACTCTCATACCTTGAAGTGCCATTTGTTAAGTTAATGTTTGTCGTTCCCTTACTACACTCACCTATCTTCCCAAATTGTCATGTATGTTCACTCACCAGTTGGCTTAGATGCTTTTCCAAACACTGTCATTTTGAAAGTGGCAGCAGTTTGAGATAGTGCTAAGTAGCCTCTAGATTTCGGAGGCAGCTCTGACCATGTTACTGTGGGGGAAGCTGCTCAGCCTGTGGAAGTGGTCCCATAAAGGGGAGACAGAAACAAGTGAAAGATGGTCCATATTCATTTACCAATAAGGAGATATGGACCAAGAACGGGTGATCTCAACATATACGTTGGTAAAGAAGGCTTTTATCAGAATGAGGGAGATCTTTCCTGATCCTATTAAGCTGGAGAAAGAAATAGGTCAAGAGAGACTTTTCTTGAATGATGCCATTTCTGGAAGGGAGTCATATTTGCTGAGAAGGCCATGGGGACGAAGGGCCAACCTCTGTTCCAGAGGAACGGTAGCTTATCCAGGATGGAAATGCCTGTGCTTGGCTAGTGATCATAAGCCACAGAGCAAGAAACCTGCTTATGCCTGAGCAAGCCATCAGCATACCACTGGCCTAGACAGAGGTGTACACCTTTCTCTTGAGCTTATAAATGTGGCTGGGTTACTGGTTCACAGGGAATCGGGGAGAGACACCCACTAAGATTAACTGTCTAAACCAAATGGGATTTGACTCAGTTTGTTTGCTTTTAAGGAGAAGAAAGCGTTAGTGAAGAAGGAAGACAGCCTTTTAGATTGGCTGGAGTTGGGGGATGCTGCACCAGACCTAATGAAAGTGTTGGTCACTCGTTGGGAGGGCTAGGTTTCATGTAATTATGCCACTGGTGGTATAATACAGATTTGTTAGATCTCAGGTGTTTCTAATTTTATTAGGCATATGTTGTCCTGGATATTTACCCTTAGGTACAGATTAGGAGTATCTAGGGCAGTGATGGCGAACCTATGACATGTGTGTCAGAGGTGACATGTGAACTCATTTTTTTGGTTGATTTTTCTTTGTTAAATGGCATTTAAATATATAAAATAAATATCAAAAATAGAAGTCTTTGTTTTACTATGGTTGCAAATATAAAAATATTTCTATATGTGACACGGCACCAGAGTTAAGTTAGGGTTTTTCAAAATGCTGACACGTTGAGCTCAAAAGGTTCACCATCACTGATCTAGGGAAATACTTCTCATGAGCTACATTGGGAAAGAGTTTGAGAGGATGACCTCTTTTTTAAATTCCTGAAAATAAAAATATCACAGGTTACCACTGACTGATGGTATTTTATTCTGAGAGATAGAACATTTTCTCTCTCATTCCTCAGTCCCTTTCATGTTGTTTATTAAATTTATTGGGGTGACATTGGTCAACATGAACATACAGGTTTCAGGTTTGGGTTTCTGTGTTACAAGATCTGTATATTACACCATGTGTTCACTACCCAAAGTCAAATCTCCTGTCACCATATATTAGGACCACTTTCCCCCCTAACCCCCTTTTCATGTTTTTGTTTTTTTTAAAATATATTTTATTGATTTTGTACAGAGAGGAAGGGAGAGGGATAGAGTTAGAAACATCGATGAGAGAGAAACATCGATGAGCTGCCTCCTGCACACCTCCTACTGGGGATGTGCCCGCAACCAAGGTACATGCCCTTGACCAGAATCGAACCTGGGACCTTTCAGTCTGCAGGCCGATGCTCTATCCCACTGAGCCAAACCGGTTAGGGCCCTTTTCATGTTCTTAACTGCTACCCAGAAATTCAGCTCTGGAAGATGAAATGAGGATGGCCTTTGGCAGGAAATCATTTCTCTAATCTGTAGCATAATGCAGTTTCTAAAATATGGCTATAAAAGCCATGAAAGTAAGTTGATTCTCGAATGGTTGATTATCTGGAACTCAGCATTGACTTTTTTCAGGAGCAATTGCCTTGTAAGCATTGGTTTGAGCCATTAATTACCATTAGTGGGAATGTGGGAGAGATATCACATATACTTCTCTCTCCAGCTGTGAAGATACGCTCTCAAAACCTGGCACAGGGCAATTTTTTATAACAGAACCCACTGTTCTTAGCAGTTTACAGAAGGTGAAGCAGTTTTCTTAAGGCTGCTCAGCAGATCTCACAGGCCACTGTATCTTGGCCTTTCATCACAAGATGTGCTTCCTGGCTGTTAACTCTTAACACTATATTGTTAGGAATATCACCTATGGTAAAGACTTCATCAATAGGATAAATTTCAAGATTTAAGGCCTTTTAAAGTCTCTCATACTATTTGTTTAAATTTTTAATTTCACTTATTGTAGTTCTAATATAATAGGCTTTCTCAGTATTTCTCAAATTTGACTGAGCATCAGAACCACCTGGCAGGCTTGTTACAGAGAATTCTGGGTCCTACTCCTAAAGTTTCAGGTTCACTAGGCAATGCCTGAGAATTTGCATGTTTAAGTTCCCAAGGTGCGCTGATGCCAACAGTCCAGGATCCACATTTTTTGAACCACTGGTGTATTAAAAAAACAAAACAAAAACACATTAAGGAAACACTCTCATTCATTCTAACTATATTTGTAATCCTCTTAATATGCTAGGTATTGTTCTGGGTACCGAGGATATAGTGATGAGTAAAGTCCCTGCCCTCAAGATTCCAACCTCTATACTAAGACATTAAAATTTACAATAATTAAAACAGTGTGATGTTGGTACCAAGAATAGATATAGCAATGATATGGATTAGAAAAATACTTGGCTTTATAACAAGTGAGTCTACATTAAAGACAGTATTACAGAATGGCTCCAGGCCTAGGTTGTATAATTTAGAGACAATTGGGCTCCCTAGCCCACTCACACGAATCACTTTTGAATCATCTTTAAACTAGATCTTAAAATGGGAAAAAGATAGATGTGGCACCAAATTAATGATATGGACGTGCTGAAATTTATAATTCATGATGGTTGTGCCTAGTGAAGGATGGGATCTTGGCAAGCCTCCAGTTTTGGCTGACTTGCAGTAACGAGGAAAATTGTTAGGCTATTAGGCATGATCTTGAAAGGCTCTCACTTTACTGTGCTTCTCTCCTTTCCTTACCCCCCAAAATGAGAAATCTCTTGTTCAGATGTTCTTTCAAGTAAGAGAGAAACAGATGTGGTTCTAGGACAATTTAATTATTCAAGAAAAAAAGTATACCAAAATAACTTCCAGAGGGAACAAATTTTAAAATGTAAAAAATAAACACAAAGAACAAGAGAATACAAGTGATTCTTTAATACAGAGGATGAGAAACAAAGAATAACAACAGAAAAGATAGATTATATAACTTACAAATTAAGAAAAACATGACTGTACTAATGGGAAATGAACAAAAAGTTAATTGGACAAAGAAATACAAAATGGTTTGTTAAATATGAAAAAAAATTTAGCTTCCCTTGTAAATCAAAGAAAATGTCAATTTAATTTAACTATTAAACACCATTTTCAATACATCAAATTTTCAAAGATGAAAAGGCTGGTTCTAGCCCATGCAGGTGCACTGTTATGGATGAGGCAAGTGGGCTCCTGGAGATGTTAAATGAATAAAATGGTAAAAACCTCTCTAGAAAGCAATTTCAAAGTAAGCTTCAAAAGCTTTAAAAATATTCAAATACTTTTCACAATAGATATAAATCAAAACATGTAGTATGCCTTAAACTTTATAGTAATATATCAATTATTTCTCAATAAAACTGGACAAAGGTTCATGCTTGCCATATCAAAAAACCTACTAGCTTTATTAAGCAGACTTCCATTTGTGTCTCTTTCTTTAGTTTTACCAACTAGAGTCACCACCATGTTATACATTAGATCCTAATTTGTATCAAGATCATTTGTATTAGATCCTTCCTTGTATAAGACCCACTTATATCTCATAACTTGCCAGAACTGTCACAGGGCTACCCTTAGCAGGAACTGAGAAGTATTCTTGACTATACACATTATGATCTCCCCCACCCAAAGTGGGGTTTTGCTAGACGAAGATGCAGTAGGGGATCTGTTTAATTACAAAATCCTCTGGTTATTACTGACCTAGAAAATACAATATAATGTCAACTGAGAAACTAGAGAACAGACACAATACAATCACAATATAATTTTTGTTAAAAAATATAATTTACATATATACACACCCCACAAGGGAATTAACAAAGTGTTAATAATACTAGTTAACATCTATAGAGTTTGCATTTCAAGTCAAAAGGGGTATTAATGGATGGACATAGTTTTTATTTTACTAAAATTTTTTTTGGTATTTTCTAAATTTTCAAAAATGCACTTGTATTATCTTTATAATAGGAAAAAAAGATTATTTTAAAAAATCCCATATGCTTTAAAAACTAAGTCCAAAATGTTTATACTCATTAATTTTCATCTTCACTGTCAAAAGAAAGGAGGCTACTGTTTTTTACTTGCTTTTGTGTGTTCTTTTTAACTGAGTCCTGTTGATTTATTTCATCTTCACTTGTCTTTTTCTTTTTTGAGCTTGCTGTTAAACCTGAATATTTTTCATCCGGGGAACGCTTCACTGGTTTTCGATACATGATTCTTCCATCAGCTGAAGCTGGTTCTTCATCTGCAGTAAAAACAAAGTTTAACTTTCTTTTCCTCTTATTATATTGCCTTTATTGGAGAGTTTAATGGCAAGAAAATCCTGTACTTTATTTAAGGAAATCCTATAATCAGTTAGCCTGGCCATCTCCACTGCCTCTCGGCTGTATGGGACAAGACCTGCAGTCCCTTATTAAACGCTCCCTGAAGTAGTGTACGGGTTATAATATTGCCAGTCTCTAATTGATTACAATCAGGCTGTATTTTTAACTATTTTGAAAAGTGACTGTTTGGAACTCCATCATTTTCTCCTAAAGCATGTAATAAATAGTTATTAATAAATTTACTACATAGCATACCACACTTCAGGCACTAATTAAATAGATTTCTGTTGACTAGTTTGTGAACCTAACCACCTATTTTTTTTGTTTGTTTTTCCCACCTATTTTTAAAAAGCAGAATGTTTTTATTTAAACTTATACTTAATCCTCATAACAACCCAATAATATAGGCAGTTATTGTCCCATTTCACTGATGAGATAACTGAGGTTGAGAAGTAAAATAACGTCTTCAAGGTTACATATCTGTAAGTGTTAAAGCTAAAGTTTGAAAGTAGGACTATCTCCTTCAAACATACCATACTATTATATAAAGTAACTTTGTACTCCAGGCTCCTTAAATTGTTAGAAAAACCAGAATCCTTTCAGACTTACCTGCTTTGGCAGCCTTTATTTCTGCTTTAATTTTCATGACATCTTCAGCTGACAGGTCTCCCTTTTTTAAAACCACCACTTGGGGCTGTTCATCTTCTTTGTCACTGTGATCACCATCTTCATCTGGGAGCTGGGGCTGGATTCTCTAGGGGAAAACACACACGACTTGTAGGTCCCTGACCCTAAACCAAATACAACCACTGTCTCCACGAGAAACTGTAACTACTAAAGAGAGAAGGGTAACTTTATTGACTAAATGTGTTTGGCAATAAATTTTCAACTCAAGAACCTAACCTCTCAGGTAGGGAAGAGGTCTGGCTGCCAGCTACCCGGGGGTGACTATCCAATGGGATTAGCTGCCATGTCAGCAGGACCCCAGCTTGCAGTTTCCAGGGTCAGGGGCCTCTGCTTCACACACTGCAGGGTTCCCAGCCTCCTCAGGGCAGTGCTAAACCACTTCTCCTGCTCTTCATCAAGCCTTTCACGTCCATCTCCTCTCCAAGTGTGACAAAAAGTAAGCAAACACTTCCAAGCACACCCTTTCACGTCCATCTCCTCAAGTGTGACAAAAAGTAAGCAAACACTTCCAAGCACAGAGAGCAGCAAGTGAAAGGCACACTTTCTCCCAGCTTTGCTCATCCCTCCTCCCAGCAGCTTGTTTAGGATGTCTCCTTTCAGCTGTTTTCTAAGTGTGTCAAATTATGGAGGTATAG